ATTTGTTTAAATAAACCATGATGATGATGATGATGATGATGATGAAAAATAGGATCTCATTGAAAACCTTGAACCTACTTTAGCCACTTGAATATTGAAAATAAGAAAACATCAGCCAAAAATAGATCATTAGAACCACTAATAATTGCTTTGTACACATTAGAACTTACAAAACAGAGAAAATGGTATTTTAGGATCTAATTTGTAGAGTTAACTGTTGAAGCTCATCTTAAAGTATCCTTTTAAAAATGAAACAAATTGAAGGTGCTGCTTAATTAGTTAAGCATCTCGTTGGCTTCACAATCTCATAGGGTTGGAAGCACTAACACTGATTGGTAAGTCCAATTAGGCTTGCACTCGATAACACTTATACATCAGTTGTTCAGTTACTGGACTCTAGTGATAAACCCACATCTACAAAGAATAGCAAAGTTTTATTGGGCCTACTCCCTGAAATGCAAGGTCACATTTCAACATGGGAACACTCATGTTAGTTCACATTATCGCTAATCGCCGCTTGCTTGCTGAGATGATCAGTGGGATTTGGTATCATAGCGTTCTAGCCTGAGCAAACAAAAATATGATAAACATTTGGGTGCAGTGGCTCTCACCTATAATCATAGCTACTCAGCAGGCTGAGATCTGGGGATTGAGGTTCAAAGCCAACCCAGGCAAAAACATCTGTGAGACCTATATCTCAAGTTAATCAGCAAAAAGCCTGAAGTAGAGATGTGGCTCACATGATAGAGCACCAGCTTTGAGCAAAAACGCTGAGAAAAGCTCAAAAACTTGAGTTCAAGTCCCACTACCTGTATTTAAATTAAAAAAAATTCCAGGAGTCCAGGATGTACAATTAAATATAAATATCACAGAAAATCTGAAAGGGACATTTAATATTAAAATATTATTCACAGTTACATAGAATTCAAATTTCAATGAGCATTGCATTTTTAATCTGGCAACCTATGACATAAACATGTTGTTGTTCAACAAAAATGACATAATTGTGTAATTGGCCATAATATGTAATGATGTCTTTGTGCAATAACAGTGATGCCTAGGTTCCAAATCACAACATACTGCACACAATCAGTTTTAGGAGACTTATTTATATGAAGTAGACACAAGGAGACATTATCAGTGTGTACAGTTTTCAAGTCGAAAGATAAACTACAAATGAATGACACTCAGTCTTGTGTCTGTCACATAATTATTAGTTGAGATTGCCACAAAAATGCAAATATCCTGAATTATTTTGCTAGAGTGGCAGTCATTCTTTGTGCCCTGATGCTAGTTCCATTTCAGTGGCTTCGTATAACATTCTGCTGACAGATGTATGTGTGTGTGTGTGTGTGTGTTCACGCATGTGCATTCATGTGCGTGCATGCACACATGCTGCAATTGACAAGGAAATGACAGTTTTCCTTTCTGTACTGACCTCTGGATGATTCAGATTCAATGTACTTCTCGCTTCTATTTCCCCTGTGAATGGCTTTGGTTAGATTATTAAATTTGAGATGTGTAGAAGATGTGTGTGGTTTTATTTTCTATAGCAAATTTTCAGTGTCAATATTATATCAGATGAAACCAATTATAATTATTTTCTCCATTTACTTTTTCTCCATTTACTTTGTGGTACTTGGTGTTGAAATCTATCAATTTAAGAGAAATATTATTTCACCTTTATGTTGACAGACATCATTCTCACTAAAGATCATTAGGGGGAAGGTATCATTATTAATGACACCTTCAATCCAAACCAACATTTCTTCTGCTCTTCATTCCTGTTCCTCTCTATTCTCCCCCCTATCCTTTCCTCTTTCCTCCTCCCTTCCTCCCCTTCCCTCCCTCCTTCATTGGAGCAATTTTCACTCAACAAATGTTTCTGAGGCATTAAGTGGTTGCTGGCCAAGATAGCACATAAACACTAGAAAAATAATCCTTACACCTGTGGAGCTTATGGCTTTTAGTCAACCAAGTATAGAAATTACCAAACAAGTCAACTAGAATAAATCTGTGAGGACCACAGCTCACTGTGAAGAGCTGTGCTGTCTGTCATTCTGCAGTCTAATGGATACCCTACTTTGTAGTCTTTTAGGCTGGACTCTGCACTGGAAGAAGTGATGCCATTGTCATCTGTCACCACATGAGCAGGGCCATGGCAGTCATGCTGCTTGGTGCTCTGTGTGCTTCCCGGAGGAGGCTGGTGCATCCGAACAGTGGACATAGGGTGCAGTTGAGAGGAGCGGGGTCCATTGTAACCCACGTGGGACCTGTTCCTCTCTGTGGTATCACGTAGAGTGTTTGAGTGAGGGAATGGCCTCGTCAAATGTGTGTCCAGTGGTGACCATAGTTGACATGAGCACAGTAAGCACAGTTCTTAAGAAACCCAGAAAAGAAAGAAAGGTGTCCTAACTCAAGTAAGGGAAATGAGGGGACAGTGGAAGTGGGTGGGTGGAGGAGGAGCAGATGAACCCTGGTGAGTGAGACTGGGCTGCCCGGGGGGATGTGGGGCTTAGATGTTAGCAGTGCAGGTAATGGCACCACTGTCCCTAACCCGGGACCGCAGGAGGGAAGGCACGCTGGAGGTGACAGGGCAAGTTGCTCTCTCTACTCACACACAACGCTCGGCTTCAAGAACAAGGCCAACTCTCAGCAGCAAGATGGGGCTTATCCTTACCCTGCGGCTCACCACAGGAGAGAAGACCATGACGCTGAGTGTGAGACCAGAACCGGGTTGAGGCACCGCGGGAAAAGGAAGGCTGGGAGGAAAGAAGCAGCAGCTCCTGCGGTCCACATAAGGGTCGTGGTGGGCTGACCTTGAGGCTGAAGGACATCAGAAGGGACTCAGCACGTGACCAGGTGTTCTGGATGAGTGAGATACAACAGAACCCTGAGGGTTAGACCAATACAGAACCCATGCTAAGTACCTTTCTCTGAAATGCTAAGTCCTCTAGTTCTGTTGGCAGCCATTAGCTGGGAAATCAGGTACAAGATGTGGAGGTTGTTTGTGGTAAAAGTTTTTGATCAATGATGGCTAACTCAAGACACGTTTTTTTAAGCTTTTATAAAAATCAGTTCTTTCTCATAACTTGGTTAAGAATTTTAAATGCATCTGCTATTGATATCGGGGCAGTTGCCATTTTGTGGTGGTTTCTCAGAGACAAAATAAATCATAAGCATGCAGAGGTCACTTCAGTCATTGAGGCAGGAAAGGCATGCTTTTCGTGCCAAGTTTGGCTGGGGAGAAAGAGGCATTACAGGCGCCCATGATGAATCTCTAGCTGGGCCCCAGTTGCATAGCCCTGCACCTGCAGCAGCTGCTGCTACGGAAGACCCTGCCTGGAAAATGGCTGCAGAAAAATACCATATTGAATGAAGTAAGTCAGGCCCAGGGACCTCAGGCAGGTGTACATGAAATGAAAATACATAGGAAGTATATACACGAGCATATACATATATACCTGGTCAGACAGAGAAGAGAATGGCCTTCCTACGAGGCAGATCCCATGATGTAATCCCCTGAACAACAAGAAAGTGAAGACCAGAAAGCTAAAACCATGTCTTGACTGACTGAGGTGGTAGAGGCCGAAAGGAGGGGAACGAAGAATGAAAAGATAAATGGTGGAAGAACACAGGAGGATAGTCAGCATCTCGGTGATCATCTTTGAAAACAGAACAAGAAAGTTGCAGGGATGGGTGGGAAGAGATGAGGAGGAAGAAAGGGCAACTCTGTTCAAGATGCACTGTACACAGAAATAGACATGTTAAATTGAAACCCTTTTATACAACTACCTGAAGAAAACAATAATAAAAAGACACGCCCCCCCCCAAATAAATGCTACCTCACCCAGGGGTCTCCCACTAGCCCTACTGTCTGCAGGGGGCAGCCCCTGGCTTCAGCTGCTAACCTCCAGGTTGGGCTGACAGGCCTGCTGTCACCATGATGATCCCAAGGGCTGTGGAAGGCCCTCCTGTCACTGCTCTGGGAAGCTGGCCTCTCCATCTGCCCGTGCCTCCTGCAGACCTCCTAGCAGGGTCTGATGGTGGAGACATCTGTGCTGAAGCCACTTGCCCTGACCCGGGCACAAAGACCCAACATCACGGTGGTTCAGTTCTCCCAGATTGTGAACTAGGGTCAATGAGTCTAAGTTAAGGAAGTTAAGTTACAGAGAAAAGGCATACATTTTCTTACACTTTCTTGTTTTGGACCTGTGGATTGCTGAAATGCCATCCAACATTGGAAAATCTCCCCTGTATGCAGCATGTTTGGCATACGGTTGACCTTTTTTCAAAAGTAAAGTATTGGCTCCTTTAAAACATTTGTTAGAAGTAATATTATGTCACTCGTGGTCAGTAAATGTTCACTAGGGATGTTTCAGGTATTTTAAGTACATTCGCACTAATTTCTTAAAACTTTAAGGAAATCCAGGACAATGCTTGTATGCAACATTTGTAATGCATTTGCTCTTTAATCATAAATACCCTGAGTCTCTAAGAATGTTTAGAGGTTTTAAAAAATGTGGGTTCTGTCCAGAGTTTTCGGGCTTGATTGATTGGAGTTCCTTCAAGCCAAAGGTTCGTGATTTTGCTTCTGGCTTTAGGATAACTTCTTAACTGCATTCATTTAACATTCACAAAAGATGAATTGTGATGACTTCAAACTTGGGACCATGGTGGTGGTGGTGTGTTTGTGAACTCTGGATGACCCAGGTCCTTGGTGATGAGTTTTGAAGGTGCTTGTTCTACATGTCTGTGCAGATCACAGCACAGGGTGCCGAAGAGAAATGCATGCCTCGAGCATGAATTCCCCCACATAGATGCCAGTTGCACTGAGCCCTTGCTGGCTTCCTGGACCATTTGTCCACATGGTTCATCCTCAGACTGTTTCCTTCCCACAGGAACGGTGCCCCACCAGGTCCACAAATAAGTGCACTCCACTTTTAATTGCAAGATACTGACCTCATTCCTTTACCTCTCTGTGTTTGTTGCCTCCACAGATTACGGAACCATTAAGAAAGTTCGGGCACCCCTGAATCAGACCACGGGCAGCTGTGTGCTGGAGGAGATTGAGCTCTTCCCAGAGCGGAGGAGGGAGCCCATCAGAAGCCTGAAGATCCTCCACAGCCAGAGCGTCCTGTTCGTGGGGCTGCAGGAGCACCTGGCCAAGATTCCCCTGAAGAGATGCCAGTTCCACCGCACGCGCAGGTACGCTGACAAGTACCCAGGGGATGGCTGTAAGACAGACACAAGAACCTGGAAGGCTTGCAAATCCCCTGCTATCCCGTGGCCCCAAGAGTGTGACGTCATAGGCACATCCTACATCCCAGAATTTACTGTGATGAGATTGACCCTCCAGCTCTCTTTCCAGAGAAAGCCACACTTACCATCTGGCAGCAGTTTTATGAAGGAAAGTGAATTATCCAGGGTATGATAACACTATTTGGTGTCTTAGGATTAATTTATTACTCTGGCACAAGTTTATATTTTATGACAATACATCTCACACGGAAAATATTCTATAAAGTGTGTGTCCTCTTCTTCTTTAAATAAGTCCCTGAGGAGGATCTGTGCTGACCTGGTGGCTGCTCTTTCTTAAGAGTCCATTGGCTGTTGTCCTGGGTACCAGCTCGGTTGACTTCACTCTGAAAGCTACGGTATCACACAGGCAGTCTGCAAGGGGGTAGGGGAGGGAAGTTCTACAGCTACACACAGATCCAGCTACCATAGTTCATTCTCCTACCTCCACCCGCTGCTTGCCCTGTCATTTTCTATGGGTGTCTGCTAGAAACATCTAGGCCAGGTGCTTGGGAAATGAAAAGGGCTGGCCATACCAAAACGTAAGTTTTATATTGTGATGTTAGAAATTACTCTGTATTCTGATCCCTGAGAAAAGTTCTCCCTGGAGGCAAAGATACTCTGAGTGGTACCTCAGAATCAAAGTTCTTGACAGCTCCACTCCCAAGCAGGCCATACATTTGGATCTGGTGCGAAAATGGTCTCCTTTATTCTGTTACTCACAAACACCCACCGTACACAGGCCATTCTTTGTCTAAACACGATGGACTTGTGTCCATCAATGTAAAAATGATCCTTTGAATGATCAGTTGAACCTTCAAATTCTTACTGAACAGCTGTTTTTAACCATTAAAAGTTTATAGACAATGATAATCCATTCAGTTTGGCAAATCCCTGATCACTCTTTTCCTTTTACATGAGCTGACTAGAAGCAGCAGGTCATTCCCATTGTCCAAATAAGGTGGAATCAGGCCAGATCTCAGTGTTCTACCCATGGTTCCACAATACTGCCACATGGGACAGGTTCAGAGCTGGTCTTTCTGCCCCAGAAGCTCATGGCAGACTTTTCATTTTCTCCGTGATGTGGTGTAGTGAGGGAATCGAACTGGGAACCAGATTTCACAGGGTTGTTGCTCGAGTGCACTTACAGGTGATCTGCGAGGTAGAGCTAGCAAGAACCAGGCAAGATGGAACTCTGCGGCACAGCGTCTTCCCCTTAGTTGCTTCTTTATGCTTGCTGTGACACAGAGCAAAAGACACAGGGTAGATTTCATATCCTATTACTCCAAAGCACTCTAAGGAGAATCTGCACTGGCTCCTTGGCCTCTGGAATGAATATGCATGAGAATTTTTACCACCTGAATATCTCTTGTTAGGAGTATCTGGCCACATCTGTTCATATAGTGAATAAAGTGAATTCATATTTACTAATTTTTAGAAGCCTGCTTCTGATTCAGAAGTGGCTACCCACAGTCATCTGGCTCAGGGTGAGCCATTGTCAATTAAAAGGGAAAATAAATAGAGACTCAAAGAATGGGGCAGCCAAGCAGACACTTCTTTAATTCTTGCCTGGTGTGCATGCCAGCATACACTCATAGCCTGTGACTGCAGGGGAGACAATCTGCACAGAGATCAACAAGTTCCCATTGAAGTGCTTCAGGAAGCAAGTAAAGGCCCTCACGGTCATGTCTGCCAATCAGGTTGTTAATCTCCTGACCCACCAGGAAGGCTTCCAGGTGGTATAACGTCCAAAGCTCTCTACCTCTAAGGAGAAGAAGGCTTGGAGCAGAGACGAGAAGCCCCTGGACACTTCCAGGTTATTTTATGGACTTTGTCCCAGTTGGATCACTGGCACAGCATACTTCCTCTGCAGAAGGAAAAAAAATATTTTAGGCCTCCCAGGTACAAAGTCCTGCTTCCAAGAACTCATCTCCGTCCCACTGCATGACCAGAATGAATGGCAAGGAAAGCTAGCAATAGTTAACAGGCATGGAAACCGTGAGTGTCTTTAGATTTCAACAGACCTTAACTTAGACAGTCAAGTAAGAGCAGAAAAGATACTAGCACAGAAAGCCATTGAATCATAAGGTGCCAAGTCACAGTGCCGTAAGTCATCCGGCTCCTCCAGAAGTCATTCTAAATATAGCTGAGCAGTATGAGAGCCTGAAGATATATCCGGGAGTGGAGGGTGGGAGGCACATCACCTAGACCAGACCGTCTGTGAGACTTGTTCACCACCAGAACGTCAGAAGTGGAGCTGTGGCTCCACTAGCTATAGCTAGCTCCACAAGCTCAGTAACCAGCCCCTCCCCCCAAACACACATGCACACATACACACATGCACACACACACACACACACACACACACCGAGGGTGTGCTAGATGAAGCTCAGGGGTTATGGTCTCCTGACTTTTCCATTATCTCATTATCATGAATGACTTGCCTTTAGATGAATGTCAATTTGTGAAGCTATGTATTTAATTCATTAAGATTTAATCTATGCTCTAATGTTTTTTAATATAACAAGATTTTATACATTTTATACACATATATACACACATCACATATATTTTCCCTAGGTACTCACTACAATTTAGGAGATAAGATAATCCTGTCAGATTATACAAATTACATTTTATAGCTAAAGGATCCATCTGGATCAGAGAGAGAATGTGAGGAATTGCTATAGAACAGAAAGTGGGTTTCATACCCTGTATAAATGATGCCAGTCCAGGCTCCACACACACTGCAAGAACAAAGACTCAGGGGATGAGCTTAGTCTATGTCTGCAGGTTCCTCTTGGTCTACCTCAAAACCACCTCAGCAAATACTTGCTGAATTAAGAAATGGATACTTTGCATCTCTCACTTTGTTACATTACTAATAACTGGAGATGAAAATTGACATCCTTGTTAAGAAGGAGGAGGAGGTAGAGGAGGATGGGGAAAGGAAGGAGAAGGAGAAGAGGAAGAAGCAAGAAGGAGAAGAAGAAGCCAAACTCATTTTATCAAAAAGTATGGTGATATAAATAGCAGAAAAAGAACTGAAAATCCTTGGGCCTTTGATGTCATTTTGTTATAAGGACTAATTTGGGAGAAGGGAGAGGTTAGAGGCTAGAAGAATCCTAGTATGTATGTAAAATGAGTAGGGCACACCTTTGGAATTGGCCTGGAATACGTTTAGCAGAAGACTAGGTTCACTGGCATGAGCTGGTATCATGTCCCAGTTAGTCTGTAATAGCATCATTTAGTTAGAGTAATTAACACCTCATTAAGAAAATTGGTATTGGAATTAGATGGCTGCAGGACATTCATTGCTTTAAAGGGCAAAGTTTTCAAAGGTGCAGTGAATAGTGCACCTTTACTAATTAAACAATCTCAAAAAAAAACAGCATCTGCCCAATGGAAAAAGTATACAGTGAAGAGAGGGACATTGCAAGGATGTTACATGGTCCCCAGCACAATAACTTCATCCATTCAGTTCTGCATTCCACAAATATCCAGCATGACTTTTGGACATATACTAATTTCACAAAGTATTCTCCTTTCAAAATGAATTTCTTATTTTCCAAATGCAAATGTCGCTAATTTGTGTCTTCATTGGCTTTTATGTGGTCTCTTGAAAACTGTGGATTTCTCTTGAGTTGTTCATTTGTTAGGTATTTGTTGAATTTAATACAAGTCAAACCCCTCACAAGGCCTTGAGTACATGATGACAGATGAGGCATCCTGGACTCTGCTTTTTGGGGTTCAGTGTTTGGTGAGAAAATACGTGGATATCCATTGTGGAACTAAGCCAGAGTCTTGGAGTTATTTTACATTTCATTCAAACATGGATTCATTTTCATTGTTAACATCTGATCCTGACCCTACTAGGACCTGATGTTCCTGTCTAGGCTTCGATTTCTGGCCTGGGCACTGTCTCTGAGCATTTTCGCTCAAGGCTACTGCTCTGCCACTTGAAGCACAGTTTCACTTTTGGGTATTTAATTAAAGATAAGAGTCTCAAGGACTTTCTTGCTCAGGCTGGCTTTGAACCAGATCTTCAGATCTCAACCTCATGAGTACCTACAAGTACAGGCAAGAGCCATGAGTACCTGGCTAAATTTCCAATAATATGGCAACTAATAGGAGGTTGTACTACATTTACTAAAGGGTTTATTTACTCAGTGGGTTCATCTAGGGCCATTTAATGACTGTGCAGAGTCTTTGTGATGATAGACTAGCAATTTGAGAAAACAAGGCAGAGTTACGTGCACACAACATAAACAGATGCACACATCTGTTGCTAACCACTGTGGTCATAATGTTAATAGTTATGGAGGTAGTGCTCTGGAGAGTTGGTCAGTTGTTATGGTGCTTATTTGAGGCTCCGGGTTCAATTCCCAGCACCAGAAAAAAAAAAGAAAGGAATTGATGTTGGTGTTGGAAATATGATTCCTGCACATATTTGAGATACACTTTGAATTATGCAGCATTAATAAAGAAACTCAAATCTCCTTTTTAACCACATCAGAGTTTTGAACTCACTGTTCAAGGCCTTGTGTTTGCTAGGCAGACACTGTGCCACCTCTGGGATACCTGCCAGCCCCTTTTTGTCTTGATTATTTTCAAAATAGTCTGATTTTATGCCCAGGCAGCCTGTTATGCAATCCTGCTTTTACTTCCTCACATGGCACCTAGGTATTATGCTTTCCCTTTGGCCTTGGGTGATAGACGTGTGCCGCTGTGCCCAGCCTTTGATCAAGATGAAGTATTACAAACTCTTTTCCCCCTGGCCTGGCCTCAAACTGCAGTCCTGATCTCCACCTCCCAAGTAGGGAGGATGAAAATCAAGTCTATGCAGAAGTTCAAGGGCTCCATCAAGCAGCCTCCATTACTTCAGTCCTTCAGACTCGTAAGACTGTGCC